TCTGCAAACGCCAGTGAGGCCGGTGTGAAGAAAATTACTCGGTTAGGATTAGAAGCCAAGAAGTTTGTAGATTTACCTGACTGGTATTCTCAGGTGTTGACTAAAGGAGAGATGATTGAGTACTATGATGTTAGCGGTTGTTATGTATTAAGACCATGGTCGTTCGGTATTTGGGAGCAGCTACAAAAATGGTTTGACAATGTTATCAAAAGGCAATTGGGCGTGCGCAATTGTTACTTCCCAATATTTGTGTCGAAAGCGGTTTTGGAAAAAGAAAAAGCGCACATAGAAGATTTTGCACCAGAGGTAAGAGATTTATAAAAAACACTTTAAATTTTATACCCATAACCACCTTTAACAAATTATAATATACAATATTATAAATTATAATATTACTGTTTAAATACAGTGATATGTTAAGGTTATATATATTGTTCTTAATTATAAAGACAACGATTGTTTCAATTCATTGTGTTTAATAGTTTCGTTGTATGTTTAAAAATTACTATAGGTAGCATGGGTAACAAAATCTGGCGATACAGAATTACAAGAACACATTGCTATCAGACCTACTAGTGAAACTGTTATGTATCCAGCATTTGCAAAATGGATTCAATCCTACAGAGATTTGCCTTTGAAGTTGAACCAATGGAATAATGTAGTGGTACGTATATGATAAAAGAAAAAAAACCAGTACAGTGGGGTCGGTGCATAGTGGGGCCGGAGCATAGTTGGGTCGGGGCATAGTGGTGACGGGGAGGTCACAGGTTTACAGGAACTTTTAAATCTGAAAGTGATAAAATCACTTTCGAAAAAAACGCTTCGATGCAAATCGGTAGTTAGTATTTTCAAGCCAGTACAGTCCAAACCAAGCACAGTATAAACCAGCAAAGTTAGAAAGTTTTAAATGAAGGTTCTGTATTTACAAATGAGCATCAAAGCGTTAATTTGAAAGTGATTTTATCCGAGAGGACTAGTACAGTAGAGTATTGGCATAATGTAATCAAAGCAATGAGGAAACGGAGAGGTCACAGGTCTACAAGAATTATTATAAAAAAAAGTGATAAAATTGAATAAAATCGCTTTCAAATAAACGCTTTGATGCTCATTTGTAAATACAGAACCTTCATTTAAAACTTTCTAACTTTGCTGGTTTATACTGTGCTTGGTTTGGACTGTACTGGCTTGAAAATACTAACTACCGATTTGCATCGAAGCGTTTTTTCGAAAGTGATTTTATCACTTTCAGATTTAAAAATTCCTGTAAACCTGTGACCTCCCCGTCACCACTATGCCCCGACCCAACTATGCTCCGTCCCCACTATGCACCGACCCCACTGTACTGGTTTTTTTTTTTTTGCAAAAACTTAGTGGACCAAATAACACAAATACAATGTCTTGTTATATTTTGTTGGAATGGTCGACGATTCATGTTTCAATCGTTTGTACTCCATAGTTTAAATTATAATCGCTTATTCTCAATAAAATTAATATTTATGTATTATATACTTCCATTATAGCAATCTCACACAAACTATTTATACTTCACAGATTATATTATTTCAAAGCTATATTATACTTCTATTTTACTAGATTGACAATGTACAAAATAAAATGCAACTAAAAAAACCTTTTCATAGATCCTTAAAATGTAAAGGGTGGGTTAGTGAAACGGGTTTTACCATTTAAATACATTAGAAAATCGCCGTTTTACTGTCTCATCCTGTATATTATTTTCTTGTTATTTTCTAAAGAAAAATCGATTTTCTTAGTCATAAAATAAAGTATTATCATTTATGACTTAATTATTATTAAAATTTATCTTAATAGTAATAGTACATAGTAATAAAATAATGAAATATTTTTTACAAAATTAGAGCTACAAGTTGATAAACTAAAAAAATAAAATTAGCACGAAGCAGATTATCTAATATTAGACAATTTAAACCACCAAGCGTGAAGCTCTTTAAATAAATAACAGTATAACAATACACAAAACATTAGTTTTCCTTTAAAAAAATTGTGTAGTAAAAAAAACATTTTGAGTCGGTATACTGCATAAAAACCAACACTTAATCTGAATCCAAAAAACAACAGTCCTCTTCATTATTTGCAGGTAGTTGGACATTAAATACTCATAGTTAACCTTCGGTAAGGTTATATAACGCAGGCTATAAAATAACGAGATAACGACAGTGGTTTTGTCGTATCAGAATCATTAATTGTCTTAAAAAGTACACGGACAGGTTTTTTTCCCAATAAATCGAGTGTCTACTATAATCAGTTACACGATTTAGTCGCCTGTGATATCATGTAATAAACACAATATTATGATACCGAACATTGGGCCCTAAACTAATCTAACACGGATAGACGTTACCAACTGATAGTTTTTAGTGACTGTTCGTTTCTCACATCTGGTACACTGGGTTTTTAGTTAAAAAAAAAAAAAAAAATTGAATTTGTGTAAACTTTAAGTCAAAAGTGGTACTTGAGCACAAAACCTAATAGTATCATTCTGCATAGATATAAATAAAATTGTTTTAATGATTTGATCAATTTTTTTTAAAGATTTTAGGTGTTTTTGTTAAAATATACGCAATGTGCGAAAACACGGTTTTCCGGCAATTAAAAAAAAACTGTAGCGCCGAATTTTTCACCCGCTTAATATGTTATGGATACATATGAGTTCCAACTACTGGCAAATTTTCAACCCAAAAGTTTTAAAATGACGGCTAAAAACCCCGAAAAACAAAAAAAACTTGTACCCCCCTAGGGGGGCGGGAAATGGGTATATTTTGAATTTGACAAAACTGACGTGCGCGGGCATACCAAATAAATATTTCTTATACATTTCAACTCGATCCGACTCTTTTTCTCGATACTATAGCCAGTAAAAGTTCTAACTTAAAAACTCGTACGGTTTTTTTTTTTGTTTTTTCAACTTTCGTCTGTGAAGACTTAAACTTTTTCAACTTTTACCCCCCCCCCAAAGTACAAACTAGACAAAATTTGTGATTTATAGAGTTGCTATTCAAAGGAATTGGTCTAGTATTAAAAAAGTTACAGTGTATACAGCGAAAAAAAAAGCCCACATCAGAGTAAAACCAATACCTTCTCGCTTTGCATCGAAGCTAAAATGTTATTGCGTCTCAATTTTGTTGACAAATTAAATTGAGAGAATAATTCGAATGTTAATAATGCAATTATTAAAATAATTTAAACCCATTGAAATCATTGAAATTGTCCTAATGTTTTCTTTTAGCGCTGGGAGTTCAAACATCCTCAACCGTTTTTGAGGACTCGCGAATTCTTATGGCAAGAAGGTCATCATGCGTACGCAACCCAAGATGAAGCCGAACGGGATGTACTCAAAGTCTTAGGTAAATCATAATCGTCAAAAAGGAAATGGTCTTACAGCAATGATTTCTTTTCAAAAAAAAATACTGCAACATTGTCGTTGGACAGTATTGAACTGTCGAGTGTCATCGTTTCGGAAAGAAAAGCGCTTCTTGTTAACCCGCGACAAATAACTTGAGAAATTTGATTTGATTGTAGAATTTTATGCCAATGTGATGTTTTAGATTTCTATAAACAAGTGTACGAAGACTTGCTTGCGGTACCCGTGGTGCCAGGGAAAAAAACCGAAAAGGAGAAGTTTGCTGGCGGCGTATTTACCACCACCGTCGAAGCCTACGTTCCGGCGAGCGGTAGAGCCATTCAAGCGGCCACCTCACATTACTTGGGAACGAATTTCGCACGAATGTTTGATGTTCAGTTCGAGCATCCAGACACTCATCAGCCTGAGTACGCTCATCAAATATCTTACGGCATGACGACACGGACCATTGGAGTGATGGTGATGGTGCACGGCGATGACCGTGGTCTTCTGCTGCCTCCCAAAGTCGCAAAGTTCAGGTAACGGAAAACAATGGGATTGTTTATGTATTATAGTTGTTGTTGTAGCTGGACGGATTGGTTTGAACTTGATAACAATTGATTTCAGGTCATTATCGTACCGTGTGGCGTTGGCGCCAGCACAGAGCCGAGCGTCAAAGATCGACTGTTGAATTTGTGCGATACCGTGAAAAACGCACTCTTGGGAGATCAAGATCCGGTCCCGTCTCCAAACAGTATTCGAGCGGAGACCGACTTGAGGGATAATTATTCACCCGGTTGGAAATTCAACCACTGGGAATTGAAGGTACTATAAATGTAAAAAAATGTTTTCTCATGTTTGTTAACACTTTGTGTTTGTTTTTTTTTTTGTAGGGAGTTCCGCTCAGAATTGAAATCGGACCTAAAGACATGGAAGCCGGCCGTCTCATTAATGTAGAATATTCGTTACCAATACAGTGTCTGCAAAAAATCTTTTAGATTATTATCATATCATATCTAAAAGTTTTTTGCACATACTATACTAATAAGATTTTCCTTGCAAAATTTCGCTGTGGTCATTAATTTGGCTTTATAGTACACTCGACGAAATAATGTACTTGTATTGTATAAATTTAATAATAAGGGTTTAATATTAAGGGTTTTAGGGGACGGTGTGACAGTAGACAACAAATAGGATAATTTGGAGTTGTTTTTCTTTTGACAAAACATAATTATACAAAATAAAATTAAACTTACATTAAAATATCGCAAAAGTTGCTTTCTAGATGACCTGTACAGTTTATGGAAAGTACTTATACCGAGAAATTCTTTAGAATAAATATTTAAGTCTTGTTCTATGCTTTCTCGTTTTTATTGAAAAGTGATGTGTTACCAGAGTCTCCGTAGTCACATTGGCTTAAATACAGATAGCGAACATGAAAAAAAAACAGTAAAACTATGCCCCGACCCCACTGTACCAGTTTTTATTTTTTTGCAAGAACATTGTGGGCCAAATAGCCCATATACAGTGTCATGTATTTGTTAATTTAGTTGGAATAGTCAACGAATAATATTTCATTCCATTGTACTCCATAGTTTAATTTATAATCGCTTATTCTCAATAAAATTAATATTTATGTATTATATACTTCCATTAGAGCAAGCTCTTACTAACTATTTATACTTCATAGACTATATTATTCTTTCAAACCTCTATTATACTTCTATTTTACTAGATTGACAATTTACAAATCTAATTTGGGTTTTTTTCACAAAGTAACAACCCGATTTTTTTTTAAATCCACTGCTTTTAAATAATTTTCAACTTATAACACCGTTTCGCTCGAATTCGGTTTTTTATGTGTGTGTGTTAGTGTGTAAGCTTTTTCTAAGAGCTTGGAAAATCGATGGTTACACTAGTATTAAATCGTAAGCCGACAAAACAGATATATAGTACTAGGATTTGTATACACAGATGTAATAATACGTTGTTTTCAACTGCTCTATCATTTGACTATTGGCAAAAACAAAATATAATATATTTCATAAATCCCGCGTACTGAACACCTACAGAAAACGACTACGTGTTTAACAGTTAGCCATTAGTATACGTTGTCCCTTTTGTGTTGCAAAACTTGGAACTGTTTTCATTCTTCAAGCCTTTTTTTTCTAAAACAAGTACTCTAGTAGGTTACCTATTATTTGAAAAATAAAAATGTATTCGAAAACTATGATACTGTTTTTCAGCTTGGCATTGTACTTATTGGAATGTCAGGGTGCACAGCCTACTCCAGAACAACGTGTAAGTATATTGAACAATAAACATTTATGATTAATAGAAAACATCAAGATTTTATCGCCTCCATTTTCGTATCAAAGAGTCTTTTTACTGTTTACTTATTAACAGTTCTTAATAATAATAATAATCCACAAAATATGACTGTCAGCTTGGCGTTTTTATTTCGCTAATGAAGACTTAGTTTTATAGGTCAATTATATTAATATACATTCTTATTTTGAAAACAATAGGAAATAATAAGTAACATAATCTGGGAAAATGTTGGCCAAGAAGGCACAGGCTATGAAGGATTAAAAGATGTATTAATAAAAGTAGTCGCTAAATTAAAATTATCCATAGAGTTCCCTGATAAGGATGAGTTGCTGGTGGAATCAAAAGGTAAATTCAATAAACATGTTGAGTAAAATGTTCAAAAACTATCGAAGAGACATTTTTTAAATATTCAATTTATTTCTTTAAAGGTTATTGAAAAAAAATTATATTTTGTAATTTCAGAATATGTTGATAGTTTACTCCATGAATACACATTGGAAGAAGTTATAAGCGTTGTCAAAGATTTTGTAGACTCCGAAAGTTTAGCATACGATGGTACCGTACAAGATTGCGTGGTAAAAAAAAACTATGATACTATATTACATATAAAAGACTTGTGTGATTGTTTGTGCTTCCCATCGGTAAAAACATTGTGATATTCATAGTAGTCGATTTAGTGAATGACTTTTTTACGCATAAAAAAATACTAAATAACAGAACCGTTTTTGGATGATTCCTTGCCGATTTTACACCAGAAGGAAAAAACTTAATTAAAAAAAATTTAATATTTCCTAATAAGCAGTTTACAAATTAGCATCAACGGGTCTATTTAAAAGTGAATGTATCCGAGTAAGCCAATACAGTGGGGTTGAGGCATAACGGATCAAAGCATAGTGTGACCGTTTACACTCTGCAGGAATAATTATAAATAAAAATGTTAAAATCACTTTCAAACAAACGCTTTGGTACTAATTTTTAAACTGTTTACACTGTGCTTGGTTTGGACTTGGACGTGACGTGGAAATACTGATTCGCATCGAGGCGTTTATTTGAAAGTGATTTTATCACTTTCAGCTATAATAATTTCTGTACACCCTGTGACCTCCTCGTCCCACTTTGCCCTGACCCCACAGTATTGACTTTTTTATTGTTAAAATTAAAAAAAAATACAAATGATCCTTTACAAATAAAAGCAAAAAAAAAAATAACCTGAAAAGACCAGTAAATATTATAAATAGTTTTTGAGTTTTTTATGTTTTTTAAAACTTTAATCCCCCCCCCCCAGATACCAACTAGATGATATTTATAGAGTTGCTTAAAAAATCCCCCATCATTGTAAAACCAATAGCATCGAAGCTAAACACTATTGATCCTAATATGACAAAAAAACTCTTAAACTACTATAAAACTGGTGTTATAATGATAAAACAATCACAGCAAGTCGTTAATGGTGGTTTTGCAAAAGAACTATTAGTTTTTTCTGTAAAATTGAATATATATTTAAATGTTTTCATGTTGTTTTGTAGAGAAGGGCAACAAACATTTTCGGGTCACTTGAAAGTTTTATACGTTATGAAGAATTAAAAGATATAATTGGAGTGATAAAGCACAAATTTAAAGTTACCAAACACTTCCCTACTTATCAAGAACATAAATTGGCGTTATCAAGTAATTAACATTATAATATAATATTCGATAAATGCGTTGTGTAAAATGTTCATAACCACTGAAGAGACATTTAAATATTTGAGTGACCTTTTTTTTGCTGGCGTACAAAATACAAATAGAATCATGCGAGATACGCGTTCAGCTTTTATAAAACATTTTATTAACCTTTCTTCAATAATTCAACAATTTGAAATAAAAATGTTTTGCCCATGTAACACATTAATATTGTCATCTTATTTTTTGCTATTAAGTTGGCCCGATTCGTTTGTTTAAAAATTGTTTAATATTTTGTATTTTCAGACCGCGCACACTATACTGTGGATCAAGTTGAAAACATAGTTATTAAAAAACTATTTTCGATTTAAGGGTTGGATTATATTTTTAACTGTTTTTAAATTAGTGCATGTCACATACGATTAATTTAGTTTTGTTTGATTAGCTAATTATTTTGATCTTGTATTTCGTTAGTGCACTGTTTAATATATGTATAAGTACTACAGAATTATAAAAAAAATTTTAAAAAAATTAAGACATTATTTTTTTTTTGACATTGTCCATGGATATGTCTTACGGCTGTAGGTCATTCTGAAAACAGTACTGATATCATTGTGGATTATGGAGGTGAATTAATAGAGATAGTGGATTAGAGATACTAGATTGCATATCCAAGTATTCATGTGTCCGCATGAAGTATGGATACTCTTAACTCTGAATTTACTCAGTTTGTATATGAAACTGAATTATTATTGTATATAATGTTGTTTTTTTCCATAGGTAGGTAATATCCTCTTATAGGTACAACAAATATTTGGCTCGACAATTAAACAGTACTAAAGAGAAAAATATGTAAGGTTACATTATTAATAATAACATGATTTTAAACGATAAATATAAAATGATAGAGAAAAAAAAACAACCAGAGAGTGCGTAAAACTAAAAGAAATTAATAATATAAACTTTAATTAAACTGAAAAGCCAGAGCTCTTAATAAAGGAATGAATTGCAAGAAAGACAGAAACGGGACGGTTGGATATAATTCTTTTTGGTTACTTTTAAACGGATTTTTATAAAATTTATTATATCTCTAAAATTAATTAATACAAAAATAAAAATCTAAATCTATTAAGTGCATATAACTACAAATAATAAAACTTGATACTTGATAACAGATTCCTTCTGATAACAAAAGTAGGTTTTGGAATTTATTAATATAATAATAACGATTAACAATGAAAAATCGTTCATTGGATATATTGAATATTTAACTAAACAAAGTAACTATAAACTTGAACCATTAAGATAGATTTATACAACACAGATGTCTAACGATATAAACGATAAGACAAAACTTACAACACACTGTTCGTTTATTTTTCATTAATATTTTGTAATGAAGTGCTCGCTTTTCATTGCGACTGTACACCAATCGAATGCCTGACGACTGCAATCCTTGGGTTAATAATAGTTGGCTCGATAGTGCCCCAAAAACACTAGTTTGAGAACGCCTTCGGTCTAGAAACAGTTTAAATATTGTAAACACAGTTTGTGAAATCTCAAATCAATGATCATTTATGGTTTAAATAAAAAGCCAAGTCCAAAAAAAAAACACTAGCTAATGAGGACACTTTGTGTATGAAAAAATATGCAGATAATTTATTGTATTTAAAATAAGTCACTGACAGTCACTCGGGGTCTCTAGTTGTGATATATGGGCTTTTGTATTAAAGTGAGTCTAGTAAAGTTGTATCTAGTCGATATACGTCAGGGTCATCGTTAAATGATCAATTTTGCAAAACACAAACTTTCCAAGAGTTCTTGTCATTATGACTAGAGAATACTAACATTACAAAACCAGAATATATATTGTAAAATTCAAATATTTTCACAAAATTATTTTAAGTAATTTTTTTTAAATAACACAAGTAAAAAAATGTGAATAAATGACTTTTTAGGAGGAGGAGGAGTGGCCGAGTGGGTAACGCGGCAGTGTGTTAGCGCTCACTGTCGCCGGTTCGACACTCGGTCACAGGCACTCCGTTTGCTGGGCGAGCAATCGTCCGGTAAAAAGGAACCGCCATCCCCCTCTCCGGCGACGGATTGACGACCCGTCCCGGAAGCGAATTCGTCAAGAAACCATCTTGATGGCAGCGTTGGGCCTTAAAGGCCCGTTAAGCTTGATGGTTTGGTTTTTTTAATCACTTTTTAAATAGGTATGTTTAGATATATGTATATTTGAATAATTTCAAATACTGAATAATAAAATATTTTTTTTTTTACTGATTCAATCGTTATTATTTTATTTGAAATCAGTTTCACAATATTAGTTTGTTTTACAATATAAATCTTGCTATTAATAAAACAAATTTTATTGTTTATATAAGAGCTATTACAAACTACATTTTTTTATATGACCGATAAAATATATTTATAATAATGTTAAAAGTGTGTAAAACAGATCCGTAATCACTTGAGCCAAAAAAATAATGATTTCTAAGTGAAAACCGTGATAAACATATAAGTAAATGAAAAATAAAATATTTAAATCATAAAATATTAAAATACCTTTTAGTGTCATGGTGTCAGTGTACGTTGTGTTGCCAATAGTCTATTATTCTAAGGGGCAGTCCATATATCCCAATACACCGTCCATTTTAATTCTGATTCTCAGCTGGTTTCTCACTACGTTAATTCTAGAACACAAATCACATTTTCAAAAATTAAAAATGAGCTTATAGTTAATTTTTTAAAATGACTTAAGCCTGAGTTTAAACATATACAAATTATACACGAGTGTAGGCAAAGATTTATTACAGAAACCCAGAAGTTTTAACTCTGAATCACATCGATTGTAGCATGTTTACACTTATTACGGTATAAGTGTAGTAAAAGAACTCATAGTTAATTTATCAAAATTAATAATCTACGCTTATTCTGTAATAGGGAACAACAATTAAAATTGTAGAAAATTTAATTAGTTACAGCTAGTATAAAATAACTCATACTCTTAATGGCCATACCTAATCACTGTTTTACTCCACCTAAAAATAAAGATGTATTTCAATTTTGCTATAATCATCTATTCCCTGCAAATCACCCAAGTCAAATATGTTTAATCTTATTTAATGAATTATAGTCAAAGTTAGACTATTTTAAACTATGGCTTATGAATATCAGGAATCCTAAAAATAAATTAGTAAGTAGGCGTAAGTGGGAATTAAGTTAAATTTCTGAAGTAATGAAGTTTTTTGTGGTTGGTGTAAAATTTCATGACTTGTGTTGAAATGACTAATTCAATTAGAACTCTCAATTAACAAAATTATTACTTATACTAGAGCTTCGCTCTAGTTGGGGGCTCCATCCCCAGGCCCCCGAGTCGGGCGGGTAGGTCACAGATTCCCGGTACTGTACCCGGCTACGCCGGGCACGCTCACGTCCCCTCGCTGCAAAGTATTTTCGGGGAGGTCACAGATTCCGAGGGGGGTGCCCGGCTGCGCCGGCCACGGTGTCGAGCCATCGCAATACGTCTTAAAGGAATGACGTTATAATTCATGGTACCTATAGGCTGTATCTAGTAATTAGAATTCATACCTAGTTATGGACAAAGGTTTTGCAAGCTAAGTACTGATTAAATGTAGAGTAAGTCTAGCTATGTATCTGTAATTTTTTTAAATTTTAAATTGAAAAGAATAGTCTAGAAGTTAGACGGTTAATAAATATCAAGTGTCCGGTGTTGCTTACTTGGGTTGTTACCACTTTTACCAATTTTTATGAACTTCCAATGTCCAGTTCCTTATCAGCGGGCGGAATTCGTGTTGAAAACTGAAAAGGACGGCAGGTCTCCGAGTGTTTTAGCATTCGCTCGCTCTGCGTCGTCGCTTCGCTCCGCCAACTAAAAATATCCTAGGTTTGTAGGCTACAGTCTATGAAGAGGTAACAGGTTTAAAATTAAGTTTAAATTAAAATTTTAAAAAGTTAAAGAGACTTGATAAGAAGCTGGCCATTGGGAAAAAGTGTATAATGGAAATTGTCTTTGGTAAAAGTTGTTATATTATAGAAAACGTCATCAATAAAGGCCGGTGTCATCCCGCTTAACTTTATGAGTTGAAAACAGATAAAAATGTCTAGAGGACAGTCAGCTAAATGTCTGTTAGAGTTTGCCTTTGTGAAACAAAATTTGTTTAAACGTAGTATGTTATATGTCTGTACACAGCGGTTCCGGGGGGTGCCCGGCTACGCCGGCCACGGTGTCGAGTCAGCTCACTACGTTTTACAGTATACCGTTATAATTCATAGTACCTTTATCCAGTAATCATAGTTCATACTTAGTTTCGAAAAAGTGTTTTGCAAGCTAGGTACCGGTTAACTGTAGTGCAAGTCTAGCTATCTGTCAGATCAGAAATGTCCTACTACTAAAGCGAGTGTGCTACTTGCTTAAAGTACAATTATTTTTTTTTTTAATTTGAATTGTTTGAGGTGTTGTTTACTTCACGGGCTTGGTAATAGCTATGGTTAAAAATAGATAGAAATGTTTAGAGGTCAGTCGGCTATGTGTCTGATATGGTGTTCCTATGTGCAACACAACTTTTTCAAACGTATACGTTATATGTCTAGATATTAGTTGAATTAAGATCCTTATTTGTTCAGAAATCACCGTCTATGCCATTATTCGGTAATGACGTACTGTACGTTTAGAATGTAACCAACAGCATAATGCATTAAATATGTATATTAAAGGTCTGGTGGTTTAACAGAAGTTCATAAGTGTTTAAGAATTCAAGAGTAAATCACATGAATGAAATGCCTAGTTTATATTAAAACTTAAAAGGGAAAGAAGTGAAGAGTGATAAATACATTATTATTGATCGGCTATTTGGCAGAGCTTATAAAAATGTCCAAAGAGAGGTTAAATGAAATGTCTCGATGCAAATCTTTTAGTTTTTGGATCTGGACCTTTAATGCTAAAGGTACTTTGATACTTAAGGTCTGACGTTTGTTGGTCATTAGAAGTTTAAAAGTGTGGAAGAATGATATGTTCGTGTGACGGTTACTTGGGAACTCAAGAGTACAAAACATGAATGAAATGTCTGAAATAATTTGTAGCAAATATTTTTGATTATTCGAGTGTCCGGCGGTGATTATAAAAACGGTCAGAGTACAAAATAATAATAATAATAATAATATTCAGTGCATAAAATACCTAAATTATTTGATACTTTTCCAGACATATTTTATACATAATAGATAAATTGATATATACATTAATACTTTTTTAAGTAAACCATGAAAGGTATAAATCCATATGTTGATATATTTTTAGATGGCTAACCAACAATTCATCCTACTAAATGATAATAATCAAAAATTTTAAAATAATTTTATTTTTCATTATGTAGTATCAATTTAAAAAAATATAGCAAAATCTATAGATTTACTATACTTTTTTAGGGTGGAGCGAATACTTATATTATACTTCTATAAAT